TTCTTACTTCTAATCCCAGCATGCTGGAGACAGAGGCAGGCGGTTCTCTGTGAGTTCCAGGACAGCCTGGTCTACAAAGGGAGTTCCAGGACAGCCAGGACTACACAAAGAAACCCTGTCTCAAAAAAAAAAAAAAAAAAAAGGAATAAGAAGGAGGAAGAGGAGGAGGAGGAGGAGGAAAGAAACGGTCTGTAATGTTAAACAGTCTACAGGACAACCCACCTGCCACCCCCAGCAACTACCCAGGACCTCTCTTGCCTTTGTCTACACTTCAGCCACACAGAATTCTTCTAGTTCTTCAAACCCACAAGCTTGCCTCCACCACAGGGCCCGTGCAGAGCGGCTCCCTGTGCCGGGGGTGTGTCCCTGATGTGGATGAGTATTGCCCTCTAGGAACCCCATGGCTACTGCTATCTCACATCAGCAACAGCCATTGGCTACAAGACTGTCCCAAGACTGGGGTCACTGACACCCCCTCAATTCTAGGAGGACTCGCTAGGTGTAGGAGGCTGATCTGACTTCCTGTCTGTGAGGTTCTCTCTCTTTTGATTTCTGCTATATTTGAGATTAAAATAGAAGAATTTAAAAACATTTCATTAATGAAAATTTTTTATTTATTTCATGTGCACTGGTGTTTTGCCTGCATGTATGTCTGTGTGAGAGTGTTGGATCCTCTGGAACTGGAGTTACAGACAGTTGTGAGCTGCCATGAGGGTGCTGGGAATTGAACCTGGGTCCTCTAGAAGAGCAACCAGTGCTCTTAACTGCTGAGCCATCCCTCCAGCCCCTCATTCATTTATTTTAACATAAGCCAATTATATGTTAGCATTAGTAATTTTTTTTAAATGAAAAAATCAACAAAAAGTCACATTGTTTCACCATTTTTTGTCTGTCTTCAAATCCCGCTCAACAGGCCACAGCTGAATCCTCACCTGGGCACTACAGCATCCCGCCTCTGGAAACTTCTGGAAAACACGCCTGTGCGTTTGTTTGTGAAGGGGGAGCAGAAGCGGCCAACGGTGTGGTTTGTTTGCAGGTGCAGATCCTCTAACCAGGAATCAGACAGCCCAAGACAGAGCCACACCAGTATTCTCTCACTGTGGCCATTGCCACTGGCCAAAGCCACAAGCCACAGGACTCTCCTTACCCAGTTTGCCAGAAGCTGGCAAGTGCCAGCAATGCTTTGCCAGTAGAAGCTGCTTAGGTACCACAGGTCCCTGAAGCTCATTTTGGGAAACACGTTTGGTCTGGCTGCTGGGCCTGGGGCCGCTGGGCCTGGGGCCGCTGGGCCTGCTGGGCCTGGGGCTGCTGGGCTGGGGCTGCTGGGTCTCGGGCTGCTGGGCCTGGGGCCGCTGGGCCTGGGGCCGCTGGGCCTGGGGCTGCTGGGCCTGGGGCTGCTGGGTCTGGGGCTGCTGGACTAGTGGTTCTTACTGTCACGGACACTCTCTTGCTCCTGGTGAGCAGAGAGCAGGGCATCAGGACTGAACGTCCTTCCTTCTGTCATTTGCTTTTGTACTTCCTAGACCCATTTCAATGCCTGTGCCCGTGAGCACTGAACACTCCAGAGCCGACCAGGGTCCAACCGTGACTTTGATCTCATCACATGTTTAAAATCAGCTTGTATGGTCAGCTGTCAGGTAGGGACTTCTGATCTTCAGGACAGAGTTCCTGTGCAGGAAAGGAAATGGGGTGTGTCCTAAGGTGGGGTACTGCTCCTTCCTCCCACGCTTCCTCAAGCCTCCACCCACTCGGCTCATCCACAGGAAAGCCCAACAGAACCACAATAGGCTGATGTCTTTTCACCTAACATACTAATTAACCAGATGCTTCCAGTTGGTAATGGGGGATACATAAGCATGTTAAAACCTTACCCTCAGAGTTACAAGAGCCATGTGACAGGACTAGCAAAAAGGGAGAAACCAGCAATCACCATGGAGTATGAGAGCCTCCGTACTCCCGACAGAGGCTATTCTGCAAGCAATGGAATGCACAGATCGCCGGAGAGTTACCAGTTCAAGCCAAGAAAGAAGAGAAATTGCATCCATCTGCTTTCTAAAACTCAGAGTCCTTTTAAACCTCATTTTTCTGTTTCATAAACAAATGTATCTTTTCTAGAATTCAAGAATTCCAAAGGACAGTAATGAGTATCACATTTTAAGTACTTAAAAGATTTCAGAGTGTCTATGTGTGTGTGCATGCACATCAGGATCCCCTGGAGCTGGGGCCATGGGAGGCTATGAGCTGCCAGATGTGGGGAATGGGAACTGAGCTCCGGCCCAGGAGTGGCATCCTCTCCGTAACCTCTCAGCCATCTCTAGCTCCCAACAATTTAAGTTCTTGACTCACCTTATGTTATTTTTTACTAACTCATTTTAGGAGCACATAAATACTCTCAAATGTGGAAGCTGTGAACATTTAGCTTTCTGCAAAAATGTTACTTGTCTTAGTCTCAGGTTTAACAAAGTAAGGTAGTCCTTGCTTGTCTGTCCACCCACCTCCAGTGTCCCAATACCCTGTTTGGATTCATAAGTATTTGGAAAATTTGAGAATGTTTTCAGACACTGTGTTACAGTTTCTAAGAAGCCCAAGTGGGTTCCAAGCTCTGGTTCCTGGGGGAGATTCAGGACCTTCAGCAAAACTCAGAAGCATGCTCAAGACCAGCAACTGGACACTGCCCCACATCCCACCAGCTATGAAGCCCTGAGTAAGACCTGCCCATCTCCCACCATGGCAGACCGCCCATCCACTGATTGCCACACAGGCACAGGTCCGGAGCCGGCACAGGTCTGTGATAGTCAATTGTCCTTGAGGCCCTGCAAGGGCAGGATTCTGACAGAAAATGATGTTACAATATCACAGTGGCAAGTGCCACCAAAGGAGACTTTGATGAGGGATTTCTGGAGTCTGGAAGAGGCCTAGGAAAAGTCTGCTGACCCGCCCGCCTCTGTTGAGCTCACAAAGAAAGCAGCTTAGCTGGACCGAAGGAGCATTTAATGGATGAAAAACATAAAGGAATTTCCCAGAGGGTATCGTACAAGTTCTAGATTGGTTAATAATAAACTATATCCAGTGTGACATGAAAGCGATGGCCAGTTGTTTACTGCCTGCTGAGAGCCGTCGGTACACTCGCTACGCTGGAGTCTGTACTGAGCTGGGGGGGGGGTCCATCCTGTACCCACTATGCTGGGGTCTGTACTGAGCTGGGGGGGGTCCATCCTGTACCCACTATGCTGGGGTCTGCACCCTGAGCTGGGGTGGTCCATCCGGTACACTCGCTACGCTGGAGTCTGTACTGAGCTGGGGGGGGGGTCCATCCTGTACCCATTATGCTGGGGTCTGTACAGGAGCTGGGGTGGTCCATCCTGTACCCACTATGCTGGGGTCTGTACATGAGCTGGGGTGGTCCATCCTGTACCCACTATGCTGGGGTCTGCACCCTGAGGTGGGGT